TTCTTTCTTTCTTTCTTTCTTTCTTTCTTTCTTTCTTTCTTTCTTTCGGAGGTACATGTAGCACAGAATGCTGTTGATTTTAATTTTAAATCCAAATACCAAGTTTGACTAGTGGAAATGCAAACATTATTCCACCTCCTGCCTAAGAATCAGTGGAATTGAGTGCTGTTACTCTGGGTTATCAATATCTATCATAGTATTGATCTTTAAACTGCCTTCTTCAGTTTGCTTGGTACAGTAAAACAACATATTGATGGAACAGATGCAGCTTCGAAAAGACAAGAAAGACAGTGGTTCAGAGAAGCATACAAGATTGCCATCAGGGAACTAGAGGATCTAAGAGGATAAGTGAATTGCTTGTGTTCATATAAGAACGCCTTTGCAGTACTGGAAAATGCACGGCGGTCTTGAGAGGATCCAAAGTCACCATCATGGCAGTCATTACCAAAAAATCTGCAAAGCAGCCTAGATTAAGAACATGGAAGAAGGTTTATCTGAAAGACATTGTATGTGCTGAAAAAAGTCCTGTTTTACTTCTGACAAACAATTTGGGGTAGTCTTCACTGGACATTTGTATCATAGCCTGATAACACATATACTAAATTCTACTTAATCCTCAGCTGCATTTCATTCTTACTCAGAAAGTGCTGGACTACCACATTATGTAGTGATCTCTTTAGGTGATCTGTAAGCCAAACTGAGGAGAAAGTGCTTGAATGCTCACTTAATTGTAAGAACTTAGATATATGAAAGACACAGACCAGATTATGATGGTTATCTCCAATTGTTTTCGTGTTTTCTGTTAACACCATACTTTTCTTTAAAACCATTCTCAAAGCAACAGAGAGAGTAAGCACTCTCCAAAAATGTTTATGTAGAATAGATTGAAAAGATGGTCGAGAAGTATACGTTTTTGTTGGAATTAATTTTCAGGTACAGATGAGTTTGATTCTTTTAGCTATTATAATGCCAGCCAGCTCTCCTAGCTGCATATGGGAAACACGCTAAGCAAGGAGAACCCAGGTTGAAAAATACTGATGTAATTCCACTCATGCTAATGTGCAAACCATGAGACCATAATGCATGTCTAACTGCTATTGCTAAGAACTCAAGAAAGAAGAAATGCTGCTTCAGCACATATAGTGTTCTGTGGTCAACAGAGTAAGACATTTAGTTTTCTGTTTATCCAGTAGTCTGTCTGGCAGCGTTAGAGCAAAAACAAAAAATGTTGAAAACAATGTTACATAATTTGACATGGTCAGTAAGAATGCCTTTAATCTAAAATGAGTCTGATTCCCAGTACTCTATCTTCCTCGGAGGTAAAGTCTGAATGGAAAGATAAGCCCTTCAAACGCATTGGGATTAACAGGGTTGGATGCTGATGAACTAACATGGAAAAAAGTTTCCAGAGGAAAAGGACGTTAAAAGAACTTCTCCAAGGGCTTCCCTCCAGTTCTGAGATCTGTTGCTGTGAGCAAAAGTGCCATGGCTGATCTCAGTCGTTGTGACAGTTGAACAATAAGGGGTGCCTGCCTTTCAGTTATGTAGGTCCCAGAGCTGAAGGAAGTTGGTTTCAGTTGAGCTTTCGGGAAATAGTTATGAAATACTTCATTGCTGAAATAACTGAGCAAATCCTGAGATTTGTTGTAGAAGCTCTGTGGCAGATAGGGAGGGAAAAGATGACGCCATCAGGTGGAATGCATTTCCATAGTACAGCCATTAGGCTACAAAGGTGAGCACAATTTATGCTTGAATTGCAGGTGGCCACAGTCATCCAGCAAAAGCAGTCAGAAGATGCATGCCTGTCTGGCAAACTGGGAGTAGTCGGAGATATTCTAATATGCAGAATTATTCTAGTCAGAAATATTCTAATATACAAACAATGAATAACACAGTGACTAAAGAAAATGTTGGTTTTGTTCTTTTCATTGTTACTGTTTTTTTCCGCTTTCCTAGAGAAGCATTTCATCTGATTACACTGTTTTGATCTACATTGCTGTCCTCTTTTGGTAAAAGACTGGGACCTACTCTAATCATGCTTTATAAAAATCCCTTATAGAAGATGTCAGAAATGAAAGTATGTTTCAAAACATGGTTATGCAAGAGAATAAGTGAGGGGAAGAATCACTCATTCGTGACTCTACAAATTTTAGAATTCCAAATTGCAGGATTTGATTTTTGTAGGATTTGATCACTGTTAGTACTCAAGCCTTCTCAGAGCTTATTAATAGACAGAATTCATATTTTTATCTGTTTAGACAAATTTCTAAGCAGGCATCAGAGGCAGCTGCTTTGTACTTTGTAGTAACTCAGAGACAGCTTTAGCTATTAGTGCTGTTCTATGGGAAGATGGGTCATTAGTCAGGGACTCTTCATGTATGGACTATGAGCAGGATATTCATTTGGTTTCTTATCTGAAATATGACTTTCTCTCTCTGGAAACAATACTTCTGATATCATTGGTCAGTCATTGATACTGCTCAGTTATACAACTTGCTCTTGGAAGTAGGAGCATGAACTGTGAGTGCTGAAGACATACAGGCTAAAATTGGTGAACTAAAAACCATGTTGGCTTTATATTCTAAACACTATTTTTGACATTAAGTTAGACTATTTTTTCCTCCATATACCTCATCTTCTTTTTTTCAGCTTGTGTAATGTAACCAAAACAAATGTTTATTACTCTGACTAAACAGAAAGCAGAAATCTGTTCATCTCAAAGGATTAGTGCAACTGAAATTACAAGGTTTTTAACTTGCTTTTAGAAAAACATCAGAGTATAGCTTGATTCTCTAACTCGTCTCATCTGTGTCTGGTGGTGCTGGATAAAACAAACATGTTGAATTCATAAACAATTCATCCAGTACCGAGAAATTATAGAAACCAGAAACACCATGTTTATAGTCGCTTTCTAGATCATAATCACTGATATTTTTCCACCAAGAAAACTCTAGGTAGAAAATTCAAATATGAACTGCACTTAAGAAGAACACTGAAGTTGCTACTAATGTTGTCAATTAAAAACCAACTGATGGTCCAGGACTACAAGATTCAGAACACTTCCAGACAGTATCATTTTCAAGGGAACACAGTGGTTGTATGAGAATGAAACTTGAAAACAGAGACATGGGTAGAGGAGGGGTGTAATAGAGGACAGATCTGCAGGATGCTATTCCAAAAATAAGACGAAGTGCTGCAAAATAGAAAATATTCTATTCAAATTGCATTAGAGCATTCTGCTGCCTATCTGATAACCAATCTTTTTTTTTGTTTTGTACAGGTTGGGAAAGATTCCTTTGGCAATGATTATGTTGCAAATTTGAAGAAGAACGGTGTTTCTACAGGTAAGCTTTTACTTTAAAGAAGCCTTTTGAATTATTTCTAAGCTTTAAAAATTAATAGCAAATGTGTGTGTGTTTTTTGTTGGTTTTTTTTTGTTGGTTTTTTTTTCCAATTTAATTGCCTTATTGGGTATGTCTTACCATTCAGAACGCCAAATAATTGTTTTGACACAAATGGGAGGAATGAATGATTATGGGTGGACTTCTGATGTCAGCTGTACCACTAAAAATAAAATGTAATGTTATTACCTCTAAGTCTCAGATGATTGCATCAGTAAAAGTCACTTGAAGATAACTTACTGTTATGCATATGTTTAGGCTGGCATTGATAGCGATAACGCCTGATGAGAAACTGAAAAATCCAGTTTGATTATCCTTTCTCTATTTCATGTTGGGAGAGAAGGAAAAAAAATAGAAATGCATTTGTCAACTCAGTGCATTTCATTTCTTTAAAATGGGCCGCTGTTTATTAATACATCTGTACACAAAAAGCAACAGTGAAAGACTTTCAGTAAAAGGGAGAGTTAAGCATTCACAATATACTATTCTTTGCACCTTTGGAACTTTAATTCTCTCTCTTGTGTAAATGTATTACTGTGTGCTGCTTAACTACATGATCACAGTTTGTTTAAAGCCCCTTGTCTCTTTCAGTGTGGACAGAGTGGACAGATAAAATCACTAAGTGGCAATTCAGTATTCTGTTTATTCTGTTTAATATGCAGCATCAAGTTTCATTTATTGCATTATTCAAGTCTCACTTTAAAGGGAGAATTATTAGTATTTTGTGGTCTCCTTTATTATGCTTATCAGTATAGCATCTAAATATTTCACAAATATATACAGAAGTTTATTCTTTGCTTATCTTCCAACTTACACAAGTAACCAGGCAAAGATACCATAAAACCAATGTCTGTTAGTTATAAATCAATCCAAAGCAAGCCTACCTTATGAATAAAGTCTTTGATCATGTAAAAATACCCTATTATAATGCATAGCACTTAATCAAAATGTATATTCCACAGCCAACCTTACATCTCTTCTTTTCTGATTTAAATGATTGAGTCTTGGATCCCAGCTTGCATTCCAAGATTTGGAGGCAAGGATGATTCAGCGTACACAGACATTTTCACACAGGACTATCGTATGTCAGTCCCATGACTTGCTTTTCATCCCAGTTTAATCCACATCTAGCCCATCCCTGTAATTATATACGTAAGGATAATGGCTACTGGACCCTTGCTGTAACTCTGCTTCTGTCCACTTCATATCTTAGATCCTTGTCATATGACTTTTTTTTTTTAACGCTCTTCTACTTCTTAATATACCACCTTACACCTTTTCTTTTCAGTTCCAGTCTGTTTCCTAACTTCCCATTCTTTCTGTCTGCACAACCAACCAGCTACCAGTACTGCTCAGACCATTTAGATCTTTACTGATGTGTTGCTCTCTCCCTCCAATGCTAGCTCTTCTGCATTTGAACTGACCAGTTAACTGCTTCCTCATGCAGCATACTTTCTGCACAAGGAGCACAGAAGACACAAGCTCTTTGCTTTTTAATTCTAATGTGCAAACCTAGCTCATGGTAAAAGAAACTATAATTGCAGGAAAAGTTCTGCTCTGACCCATGTAACTGAGCTAGATAAGGGAACCCTCAAGGCAAGTAATTCCAGTACTTTAGCAGATCTGCATAAGCATGATGTTATGGGTTTTTTTTCAGCCTTGTTCAAATTTGAACAGGTATTTAAATTTTCCAGAAAGAGTACCGCTTGAGAAAGAATCCAGCCCTTGAGCAGCCTCAGGTCCATGTTCTAAAGTGTTAAAACAACGGAGCTTCTTAAACAAAAGGTCACCAGAATTTACCTCAAATACAATAGTGTATTTTTCATGCATACACGTTTTAGGGAAAGAAAATGAACTTCTTTGACAGGTGTTTTACTATAGTGTTCACAGAATCACAAAATGAGCAGGATTGGAAGAGACCTCAAGGATCATGAATTTCCAACCTCCTGCCACCAAGGAGGCAAGGCCACCAACCTCATTATTTAATAGTAGACTGGGCTGCCCAGAGCCCCATCCAACCTGGCCTTGAACACCTCCAGGAATGGGGCATCCACAACCAGATGTTAGGTGTTGGGTTTTACCTAACACAATCCATTATCGTGGAAACTTTCGGCTCACTGGTTAATATTTGACAAATTATCTGACGTCTGAAAACCTGCTCTTACAGTAGTAAATATTGAACAATCTTTATAACAGACAGTGCTGCCAGCTTAACTTCTAGATATCTGAATAATAATGCCAAGAGGAAACATATAGCCTCACGCTGCCTTCATACTACGTGTTAATGTTTCTCTTGAAAATGCAAATGTATGGGGAATTAAATGCTGTGTTATTTTAATATCTTTGGTTTCTCCAGCCTTGACTATTGTTCTACTGGATAAAATAAATACTTCCATGTAGGAGTAGAGAGTGCCTGAGAAAGCTGTATAAATAACATGCTTTCTTTAAAGCCGGGATGTAGCCAAATTAAAGAATGTTGGACTCACATTTCTGTTTTGTGGGTGTAAATTAACACTTTTTGTTTTTGTTAGCTTCTCTGGCATTGTTGCACATGAAAGAGTAATTAGCATTTTTAAATTGCTGGAGGTTATGAGTTCATTTTAGATTTAATTCAATTAAACTGAATCACATGCTATTGGTTGAAAGTGATGTATTGAACTAATGCATGCTGTAACTTTTCCCTTTCTTAGCATTTGTAGGTCAGACTGCAGATGCTGTTACTGGAACTGCTTCAATAATTGTCAACAGTGAAGGTACATTATTTCTACTCAGAGTTGTCTTCTTCATTATGTCTCTACTGCCTCAAAAAATACCATCTTTGACTTGTCATTTTTAACTGTGGAATTAGTTTTTTACATCTTTCATCTTTTTCATGGTCTTATTCATACATTATTGCAAATTTGTAGAATGAGATGCCTAGCAGCATCAGAATCAGACTCCTATACTTGCAATGCGATGGCCATAATTCAACCTTCCAGCTGATCTATCCAGTTTCACATTGTTCACAGGAGAAAGTGCATCAGAATGAGGTTAAAGCTTTCCTTTTCCTCTATGACTTGCTTAGCACTTCTGCCGTGAGAGAAGTTTGCCTCCTGAGTACAGTGAATGAATCATTATGCTCTGAATCAGAAAATATAATTGTCCTTAGTATTAGTAGAAATATTTACGCTATTCTTGTAATATTACTGCAATTCTTGATCCCAGGCTGCATCTGCAGTGTTGAATACACGATTAAATAGCAAATCTGTTTTTCCCCATGTTAGTTTTCCTTTGCTCTCATGTTGCAGGGGAAGAAGGAGAGAAGGGTTATGTTTTCATATTCCTCTTCAAGTCTGCTAAACTATCTTCTGAAAACTTTATTTTTTCTTCAAGCAAACTGTGACTGAGAACTCTTAGGAAAAGCACTTGAGTCTAGATAAAACTTTAAAGCACAGGATAAATAATGTTTATGCAACCATAACAGATTAAGTGTGACTGAATTAATTCACTTTTGGTGCACTAATAGCCTTCACTTGAACAGGTACCGCAGCTTAGCTGACACATCAACTTAACAAGTTCCTATGCAGCTTGATGGTACACTGGGCTACAGCTCAAGAGGGTGAAGGAAACGTAGCTATTTGCTCCAGGAGCAAACCTGGGAAGGAATGGGGACTAAAGGCAAGTCTACACAGGAACATTCAGGAAAATTAAGCAAACTCGTTGGAGATGTGAGTTTAATTTTGCCTAAGAAAGATTAATCAAATGCATGACAGCTCTAATTCAAGAATAAGGTAGCTCTAATACACTGAATAAACTGGATACCTGCCTTCTCTTGATTTGGATTAGCAGGTAAATTGTCACAGATCTTAAGCATTCTTTCTTTTGCTGCATGCAGTCACTACTGCAAGCACTGTAAATGGGTGAGACAGTGAGAATCCAGTAGGGCATATTCCCAGGCCTCACAGCTTTGTGCATAACTGGCTCTAGGTCTGTTATCCAGAATGACTGCATAAGAAGCAATCTAAGTATTTCTTAAATATGTATGGCCAGCTAAGGTAACCATGGCTGAGATCGGAAAAAGTAGAAATTAATTTCTGAAGGATAAGAAACAAAAGCACCTTGTGGATTTAAAACCTGTACAAGCATTAGGAAAGGGAAACTGATTGTTCAGTGTCACATGGTTAACCTTAAGTGTTAGTGTGAATGATCTCTGATAGTCTTGTGGTTCTCGCTGTGAACAGAATAATGCATAATGTGATGTAGTTTGTTTCTTTCAGAAACTACAAAAAATCCTAAATTAAGTTACCACTGGCCTCAGATTTAATTTAAAATCTACTTACAAACCTGGTCAAAACTGTGCTGTAAAGCAAACAGATGCACAGAATTGGTAATGGTTCTGGTTGTTGCTTCTGTCTAAAACCATCTGGCGCCTGAATTGAGTAAATTGTAATAAAATAGCAGCACTTATGTGCTTGCTGTTGCAAGAGACACTTCTTTTCTTGTAGAAACCTGGCTGATTTGACCTAAACAGGTTTTACCGCACTTTTTAAAGGGCTTGTCTACACATGCATGCTTTACCACAGCAGTTGAGCTGGCGTAGCTGAGACATCACAGCAGTCAGTGCAGACCCATGTGAAGCAGTTTCTGCAAGCTCAAATTATATGTAAAAGGGAAGCATTTGCTGGTGTGTAGGGGGGACAGGGGACCTTGGTTTGTGTTAAGATAATGAGAAGCAAATAGAAAACATAGATACTGCTTCAAATCATGATGTTTTAATTGCTGTATTTTTGTGTGCCTCACCTGCATCTTACCAGTTCTTTACAAGTAGTGACACTTACAGAAAATACCAACTGCAATCAACAGTGTAATATCACAGGAGGAAGTGGGAGAGATTCTCAAATAGAGAGAGCATACTATGATGGAGGAAAAGAAAACCAATGAAACCAGAATCAGAGGAGGTTCTGAAGTAGAGATTCCCTTGTATTACTTGTGTCTGTCTGTCCAGCGCTGCTGCTGAATTTCTGGGAAGATTTTTGCTGAGTTACACAGATACAACTCAACCATTATTTTAATTGGCAAAATAATTAAAAAATGGAAAATTATCAAGTGCATTTTATATTCTCAAAAATGCATTATATTTGGAGACAATACAGTGTCATTTCAGTGAAAGAAAGGTTAAATCCTGCTTTAATTCAAAATGGCGGGGAGATATTTAACAAGTTTATGGTAGTGTTGGATAATGTACAACCCAGAGATGCTGTAAAAGATTCACTCTGGGCTGGTCTCAAAAATCTGTACAGCACTTTTTTTCTGGAACCTGGTGTTCCTGTCAAGTTCCTTCTTTTATATGACTTCCTTTTCAGATAGGTTTAGATCAAACACAATCTTCAACTCTGGGACTCTGTGTACTTCTAATCTGTACTTCTACTCTCAAGGAGAAAAATTGGTACCTCAAGCCAGTTTTCTTAACATGTTTTCTTTGAGGTGCGTTGTACCACTGAACTGCAGCTTCTTCTTTCAGCTTGCTTTCTTTCCACTAGCTATCACTTAACCACACCTTCTGCTAATGATGTTTTACTGAGTCGTAAGAACTCCATAAAATTATGAGATGTACTGGACCTTTATGTATACATGTAGAGAAGGAAAAAAACTCTTTATGAATAATTTCTTTTACTTAATTATGTCTAAAGCTTATTGCAGCTTTGTCCATATCTGGTACTGACTCGGTGCTGCCATTAAGCTGCTCTGACTGGACTAGTAGCTTGAACCAATCTGACAACTTTCATATTCATGGCAAATATTCACTTGAGGGGACAACAGAGATTGGCAGGTCATGATTTAAGTGCTCTTGATTATTGCAAGCTGAAACTAAATTCACTTATAGAGAATACTGTGAGATAACCCTCACTTGATATAGGCTTTATGCTGACTTGATGAGGATATTAATCATTCAACAGTGAATATGCAATATTTGTAAGTAAATGTACTTTCAATACTGAACCACTGGTTGTATAAAAACATTCAAAATATACGTTTCAATTGGGCTCAATAAACACAGCAAATTTAGAATACATATGCCAACTTGACTGAATTGTACTTTCCAAAGAGAAAATTTTGTTTTGAACCTTCAGGATTGTAAATAAATGTCACTGAATTTTTATCGAATTTCTATGTATTGACATTCATCATAAACTTGAATGTTCTACGTAGAAAATTGTTCAGTGCTTCTACCAAGTCACTCCACAGAAATTATTATACTATGACACACCCAAAACATGCCCTTGTAGTCATGAATTGTGTGATTTAGCAGCAAATATTTTCCTTGTAACATTATTTTCTGGTCACAAACATGTTCTTTTTTCCCAATTGACTAATATTCAGAAGTTCTGTACCTATTGTTTAAACTGTATTCTTTGAGATCTTGAATGAGTTCTAAGCACTACTGATGACTTTTAGCCTCTTCATCCTGTATTAACAGTAAAGTGAGGATTATTGCACTGTGGTGTTTACTGCTTTCCACTGAGAGTTCTCATCTGGTGGCATGTATAAAAGGATACTTGGAAGAAAAATATAGTTGGAGTTATCTAGCCTTCTAAGAAGGAACAGCAGCAGGGTTAGAAGGCCAGCCAAGAACAGTATTTACATATACATACATGTGCTGTTTAAAGTATTGATTGGACTCAATCCCCATCTGGTGTAAGCTTCCGTAAGTTTATCAGCTTTATTTAGCTATTCTAGTTTTCAAGAGCTGTGAATATGGCCTTTATTTTAGCTGACATCTGCAAAACTTACAATTCTATAGATGCTCCCTACAAAAAAACTATGCACTTTTAGTTTATGCACTAATATTTTAGAATTAGCTTTAACACAGTGAATATCTTTTTGTCATTCTTAGTATGGGCAACATTTTCACCTCACTGGAGTTGCTTCTAAGTTATGTGAATGTTTTAAAGCTTCATCTACGGTTGAACACAGACATTTTTCAGATAGTTTATGTTCACCTCAAAAGGCTATCTAAGAAATGGAAGACTGAAAAACATCTGAAAATACTTACCTTCTTGTTGAAGGAACCTAGAGAACTAATCCTTAGAAATTAGTTTTCTTAGAATTCTCTAGAATGTAGAATGTTTTGGAAAACTTGAAATTTGTTAATGTTGGACAAGATGAATCCGTCCCCTGTTTACCATCTGTCTTTAACTCTGTTGTCCCTGGTGCTGATTTCCCATCTGATTTCCCTGGCAAGAAATAGTTGCTTCCAACAAGATGGGTGCTGGTAATACAGAATTCTGGTATTAGTTGTTAATACACGGGTCGAGATTCTGCTTTCATGCACACTGGTATAAATTTCTGGTGACTGTTGTCATTCACAGTCAGTGTGGTATGCATAGCTAAGAACAGAATGTGGCTTTTTATTTACAGCTTGAGTTTAAGCCAGTCAAGTCTGTTACAGCGCAGTAGGTACTTTATTTCTCTGGCAGGTATGGTTTGCTTGCTTTAAAGCAGACTTTAAGTCTCTGGCCTTTTGTTGTTACAAAGAAAAGCTTCTGAATGTAATCCAATGCAGCATGGTCTATCTTGAATTTGCACATATAAGTTTAAGCAAACAGCCTTCCTTATCGCCTTGGGCCATTAGCTCTAAAGACTAATAATAATATACATGTCAGTACAGCTAAATAGTTTAGCAAGATAATGCAGCAAGACATGTAGATAGAGTCTCAGATTCTATGTAGCATGGAGTCAAGGCAGAAATGAAATATATTTTGTTCTACCAATTCGTTGTGGTTTATTCTATTTACTGCTTTATTACATAAACTTTCAGCATATATGCTTGGCAAAATAGTTGCTTTTTGCCTTTGAAAGTCTCCTTTGCAGGTTTCAGATATCTTTGATAGCATTTGCTTGTTGCAGAAGATTTTTTTCTTTCTGTTTTTTAATCGGAGATGCCCATCATTGTCTGTTGAAAAGCAGGGCGTTGGCTTTAAATGCTGAGGTTTTGCTTTTCAAATGCAGCTGTTCTGTACCAAACCATTGACAGCAGAATTGCTTTGGAAAGCTTGGGCCCCTCCCTCTGAGATCATTATATTATTCTTTCCATTGTCCTGCTTTCTTTTCAGAGCACATTTAGGGAGACAAGCTTTGCACGTTTCTTATTCAAAGGACTTTGAAGTCTTATTCAAGAAAAATAATGTACTTAAAAACATAAATATTTATTTACAGAGTAATTCAGTTCATCACAGAATTGGTATCCTTTAATGATTGGCAGTCCTTAAAGGAACCTTCGGCGGGGGCGGGCTGAGCCTGTAAATCAAGGAACAACTGACTTATTGAATTTAATACCTGAGTGATTAATAATAAATTTTAATTTGAAGGCACCCATGCCTGAAGGTCTCTAGGTGTTGTAACAGAGATTAAAAAAGAAACAAAGAAACTGCAATAAAAGAGGGCAACTTGCACGTCTGGAGAAAAACAAAAACCCATTTGGAACCTACGTAAATGAACCTCTTCACCTAACTGTAAAACAAACTACAAGACTGAAAAGGATCTTAGAGTGCTTTGAGATACTGCTGTCTGTAAAGCTTTGCTTAGAGCATTCAACCAGCCAGCTTCAAGTTCAGAAAAGTCTGTTATCCACTTTTCTTACTTCTGGTAAGGGTTTCTTCAGCCACAAGCATTATCTCTGTTTTTTTGTAACATGCTGATTCTGGTTTTCATATTGTTTAGGGGCTCTAACTTGAAGCTTCACAAGTAGACAGAGAAAGTCTGCATTTCTGAAATTAAGGACACACATAATTTTCATTGCTTTGTGAAATATCCTATTACCTGCTCATGGGAAGATTGATCATGATGCTTTTGTCTTCAAATACTATTGCAGTACTTTAGGAAAAGACACATATCAGTCTTGGTGTATGTTCCGTATCTTCACTGTGACTAGTATAGTGCTTCTTTACGGTTCATTAGAAACACTGAAATAAGAGTGGGGAAAGTTCATTCATGACTTTCCTGAAGAAATATATACTGCATTTGTTGCATTGTATTGTCTTTGTTAATCCTTCAGTTGTTTTGATTATCTTCTGATATAATTGGATATTTGAAAATGCCACAAGTATTAAATTGTTTCTGGGGTTTTTTGAAAGAAAACTGAAATCATCATCTAAAAGGTATTGTAGAAAAGCAAAGGACTTACATACTTTATTGCAAAAAGTTAATGCAAAAAATATTATATCTTCTCTTTAGGACAGAATGTTATTGTCATAGTTCCAGGAGCCAATCTGCTTTTAAATTCTGAAGACCTGAAGAGAGCTTCTGATATCATCTGTAAAGCCAAAGTGGTTGTCTGCCAGCTAGAAATAACCCCTGCTGTTTCTCTTGAAGCGCTGAAAATGGCACGTACTAGTGGAGGTAATTTAGCATAAGCCTTTCTGTGTCCTTCGCTCGTGTTGCATGAAAACTATTCTTTATTGTGCTTTCAAAGTGAAGATCATGTGGTCTTTTCTGTCATACCAGTATTATTTAGAACTGAAACAATGACCAACAAATTCATGCTACGCTAGTGAAAACCGAATTCAGTTTTAAAATTTTGCTACATTTAACTTGAATGGCAAATCATGATGTCTCTACCCTTCTAATCCCATATATGGCTGGTACTGCTTTTTCTCTGATTTTCATGCTGTGACTAAAGACACTGTAATGTCATTAGGTCAGGAACTGTGGGCCTGACTCTGGTCTTGTGCCAGTGCAGAACAAGCATAAAGAATGCAAGTCAGTTGAGTTCTGCACACAACAAAGTGAATGAAATAACCTCAAAAACAGACTTATGCCCTTGTTCTTGTAGCAAAGCAGTAAGTATGACTGTGGTTTTTCTGCATGGAAGTTAATATCCCTAATTTTAAAATTTTAAAAAAAGAGCTTTTTCTTTTTAACAAAGATTCTTAGAGTGTGAGTTGGCATGCTGCCGTTGGATAGACAGTCATGGTCTATGGTCTGTGGAATTATTAGTAATTGTTACTGTGCTGTTCTTTTAAACGTAGGCCCTTGTTCCTTCAGTGTAGAATATACCTGGATAAAAGCTGGCATTTTGCTTGAACAAGATGGGGTTTCACTACCAACATGATGCTTTTGTTCTTTAAGTGTCTGTAATTCCTTCAGTTACTCAAGCATGATTACCACAGTATTTGTACAATGCTAAGTAAATAATTATGCAAGCGAAGCATCTATATGGTATTAACTTATGTTGTTCTCATTTATCAAGACTGTGGATAGACTATGAGGGATCAGCTCAAATGGTCAGCTGTGCAGCTGGTCGCAGAAGGAACTGGAATCAGAACTAACTGGATCCCTGCAGCTGGGTCCAGACTTGCTCCAGTAGATCATAGCACCTTGGGCTTCTTTGCTCCTCAGTCCCCCTGCAGCACTGAGCACTGCTGTGCAGCTGTTGTCATTTCTGTTGTTCATGCACTAGTGAAGGCATCATAGAGTCAGAACCATAGAATCACCAAGGTTGGAAAAGACCTCCAAGACCAACCAGTCCAACCATCCACCTATCACCAATATTTTCCATTAAGCTATGTCCCTTAGTACAACATCTAAACATTTCCTGAACACCACCACAAGTGACTCCACCACCTCCCTGGGCACTCCAGCACCTGACCACTCTTTTGGAGAAGTTCTTCTTCAGATGTAGGAGAACTTCATGCATCCTTTTCACATATTTTGTGCTGATTCAAGTGGCTATGTTACATGCAAGCCTGAGAGAGATTTTCTTTAATAGTAATATTGGTAATAGTCCTAAACTGTACGAACTATACTCTGTGCACACAGAAGAATTTTTTTGGCTTCTATTTGAAATGCAAATTAAAAAAAAAAATTTAAACTTCACTTAACTGAGTAACTAGCACCTGGGATGCTTACAGTCTGCTTAAGGAGGGGGCAACAGAACTTGCTATGTTTTAGTTTTAAATTTTTATGAAAATTGATAACATTGTTAATCTAGTGGCTAATGGAATATAATTGGTTCATGAACCAATATCAATGACTTATTTTGTCTTCTTCTAAGTCTGCACATAGTTCTAGTAAAGTTGCTTTATTTTTTTGTCACTTCCTTATGGCAGGATACCAGCCCGTGTCAGAAAATCCAAACCTGATACACACAACAGGCATGCAGGCATTTAGCAACTGCAGAGAACACAACATATTGAGGAGAGATTGTGGTAACTGTGGGCCAGCACTAGTTCTGTGCTGTCAGTCTGCTGTCATTGTGCAGGTCTTGTGTCAGCAGAGTTTGGGTTGCTTCTGCTATAAAGCAACTGGCTACACATGTTCACGTGTCGTGATGCAGTCAAATTTAAATAAACAGCTGAGTTTGTAGCATTGTAAAAATTCATCCTTAGCCAATTCTAAATTGTTAATGCAATTTTCTTTTTTTTTTTTAGCCTGCTATAGGCTCATGTATAATGCAGTAATGTGTGTTAGGATGTGCAGTATTTTTGTTGAACAGATGCATATCCAGATGTCTCAAACCACAGCTTCAAGGTTGTTTTTTTTTTTGCCTGTTTTTCTTCATTCTTACTGAAACGAAATAACCATTAAGATGGAAAAACAATATGGATGCTCAGGCAAAACCCCTTTGCTTCTGTTTAGTGCACATGACACAGATTTGTTAGAGGGAGACATCTCGTGTTCTGACATCCTGCAATTGTAGCACTGATTGTTGAAGACAATCTCAGGGTGAAGGAAAGGCAAGAAGGAAGGAAGGGAGGGGTTGTGAATAACCTAAGTGGGTATAAATTGCAGTGGAAATCTGATTGGAAAATTTTAGGTTGTAATGGCCACATGCTGCTTCCAAGAGGAGAACCACTTCATTTATGGGCAAAATATTATCGTGCACCAAAGCCTGTAAAGCGGTTTTCAGGCTCCTGTAATGCCAAGCTCTATAAATGACAGATAACTCTATATAAAGACAGATAACTCCAGCCTGTTAACACTGTAGGGAAGAATGGCATTAACCAGGTCTGGAAGCAGCTTCAGCTATTAAGGTTGTATGTCACTTTCAAGTAGATCAAGTGCTTCAACTTTTTAATCATGGGTTGCAGTTTTTCATACAAGCTGTTTATCCGTGGTTAAATTATTTGTAGAATTCTGCCAAGACAGTGGCTTCAGAAACTAGGCCATGGAAAACTGCCATCCAGTCTACGTGCCTTTAAAAGGTGTAGACTGGCTACCTCAAAACTTAGTAAAGACTTGATACCAAGGGAGATTTCATTTAAAGATAAGACTTTACAGTATGGAAATCTGCCTAATTTTTACTGTGTTACCTGCTTTTGGAAGGTAACTACCTTCAACACAGACTTTCAGAGTCATTCCTGACTCTGATCCTAAGCAGCTTCTTTTACACTGATACTGATCTCTTGTAGGCCAAGGAAATAGAGGTTCTCCTTTCAGTTCTCTTCCTTCTTCCTCTGACATCTCAAAAAATTAAGAAAATTCCTTTTATGCTTCCCATGTCTGAAATCTATGCTTCTCCCCCACCATTCCAACCCAGCTTTGTCTCTTCTGTATTCATACTACTAAGAATGAAAAGTATGTTATGAGAATGGATCTTGGCAAATAGAGAGGCAGAGATTGGGCAGAAAATAATCTGGTGTTCCTAAGGGGAACACAAGTCCTGTTTTTCACAGACTGAAAGACAATCTTAATGTTCTTCCATCTCCCCAGTGCTCAGCAAATATTAAACATGGGAGTGAACTACATAATACCAACATATTCCAACCTGTTCATGATGAGTCTGCATTACTTAAAGCCCAAGCTGGAACACTTCTAGTGCTGTTCATGACCATTGTATATGTCATTATAATACTATAGGACTGAGTTTGTTTTTCAGTATGTACTGTTTGTTGGAGTTTTTTGTTTGTTTGTTTTGCTTATGAATGTATACCTTAAATATTTATTTTTTTTTTTTAAATAAAAAAAACTTAATTAGGGTGGCAATTCAGAAAATAGGAAGTGTAAGAGTTAAGTTTGCCTATGAAAGCTTAATTTGTCTCTTTTCTGCATATATATTAGGTTGCAGTCTTTAATTAAGTGTTCACATGCTGTTTTTCAGTGGTATGTGATCATATAATTAAAGAGTTTATTATAATACATACTGTATTGTAATAATGTAAGGGAGCCAAATGAAGATTTTACTGGAAATCCTAATTCTGACATTTTCTGACTTCTGAGTAAATGCCTTTGTGCTTTTAATAAGATTATTTTTAACGAGACAAATAGACATGATAAAGTCACAGGCAACTTTCTGAAGTATTAATCAAAATGAGTATCCTCTAAACTTCTTGGAGCTGAGATTTCGGAAAGCTTTGAGGATCTTTCTCTTTAGGGAGCTAAGTGGGATTCAGAAGTGTTCTGGGTGTCCGTGTACTATAGCTTAGAGTCTAAATAAACATATAGGGCTGAAAATACAGACATCTAAATTGGAAGATTTGATCACTTGCAATATTTCTCAAGTAAGAGAGTACACTTTATATAAAAGCGATGGCCGTGTAGTTAAAAGACAGCAGCATTCAACATAGCACTGGCAAAATGAGAAACAAACTCTGAGGACTTCCTGTATTAACAGTGAAGTCACTTACACTCTGTCCTCATGACAAACCTTTTCTACTGTTACACAGAGCCTTAGGCTACAGTTTCGGATTAGGTTAACTAACATATTCTACCATACCTTAGCTAAGGTTTTAGCTCTGCCAGATAACGTATTAAAAATATACAGTGCTTTGTCTACACTAGAGTTTTACAGTGTGGCAGTTTGAACAAGTTAGGTAACACATTCAAAACCACATTTAAATCCCTGTCTGGACACGTCCTTCATTAGTCTATATCCCTGTCTCTTCATGTATAGAATGCAGATAACAACATAGAAAAAAATCTAGAACTAAATAGGTTCTTGTAAAACCTGTTAAAATCCTCTAAGAAGAACCATCAGTTAAACAATTTGTATTTGCTTAAGACTTTTCCTGTGCTGTTTTTTTTTTTTAATTAATAATTTGTTGCTTTTTTTTCCTGTTACTTGTCTGTCATGTTCCTATTATGTGACTGAACATTAATTAGATGGGAATTTTAATATAATAAAACTTCTAGCAGTTCTATAAAATGAAGACATAGAAAATGAGAGTCATTTGCATTTAATGCTAAACACTGGGGGCTGTGAATGCAATCTTGGAAGGTATTAACCACAATGGTATTCCAGGTGTTGTGTTAATCTAAAATACTAGAGGTTTAGACTTTTTTCCATTTTTTTTTCAGTAAAAACCTTGTTTAACCCTGCTCCTGCCCTTGCTGACCTAGATCCAGAATTTTATACCCATTCTGACATCTTCTGCTGCAATGAAACTGAGGTAATGATCATATATGAAGGAGTCTTCACCAGTAAAGCTTAAGGGGGATTCTGTTCTCGGAAATGCAGCATGGGGAGCAGAAAAACTAAGCTGTGTTCCTCCTCCATAGGATTTCTGGAGGTAACAGGTTTAATCCCTGACTTAATGAGTAAAGAGGAATATTCTAGAATTCATTTCAATTACATTCAAAATTAAATTAATTGTTTCCAGCAGGAAAGTTGTATCCAGCCTCCCTTACAAGTAGATGAGTAAAACAAATCCATAAAAGGACACTAAGATGCTAGTACTGAGTGGTAAATATTAAAATAGATCCTTGTCCTCGTTCTGCGGTCCCTTGATATGATTAGCAGCAATGCGCTAGCCGTAGCGTTCTGACAGTTTTAAACTCGCTTGCCAGGAGGTGATGCATGCATGCTGCACTTGATGGTAAATAGCAGCTTCATATGCCTCTTCCTGTCAGATCTGTTTGCAGTGAGTCTGTTTCTCTGGCCCTTCAACTGTGCGTTTTCTCTTTTTCTTTCCATCTTTCCCGCTCTTTTCTAATTCAAGCATTTTATTTCTCCCCAAGCAAATTATTTTTGTCACAAGAGACAAATTAAGCGCATCTCACAAAGCCTTGGTTTTAATTTCTTATTTATTAACATAAAGCATGCTGTATTCCTTCTCTTCACTCTCTCTTTATATAAACAGGAACGTGTGAGAAGCAACATAGCAGATAGAAACCATGCCCTGATCATAGTTATAGTTATCTGCAGCAAACAGGATTTCTGCAACGAACATAGTACCTGTGGGTACAGAGGAGAGGGGAGGGCTAAAAGCATAGCCCTGTTTTCTATATGATTTTTTTTTTTTTTGTCTGATGACTGGGTCTGCCAAAATAAGGCTCTGTTACTCTCTTTTGAAATTTCTGTGAAGACCTTTTACAAACTTCATCAGAAGTCCTCAGTTCATGAGTCTTCAAGCATTCAAGGTTCTAATTAATCCAAGCTGACATTGGAATTTTATTCTGAAATGTTCCAATACACGTCTCCATTTCGGATACACCACAGTACTCAGGAATGAGCCAAACATTTCTTTCAAGGTGGGAGATGCTGTGGCCCCTCCAGATTCTGGTAGGCAAAGCTTCCAGTATAGTTGGAAGCCATATAATTTGTGGTTATCAGAGCCATCAGCATTCAGTTATATGTGACAGTGAGAATGATAAGACAAAGTACTTGTTTTCATTTGGGACACCCATATTGTTTTCTTCATGCTTTCAGGAAACTCTTTTATGCCTGAACCATGCCCCTGGACTGGTTAAATGGGCTACAGCATGCATTTTGGGCTGAGAACATCCATATTCTCCCATCAATTTAATACATGTCATTCACTGTTTGCTTTTTTTTCATCATGTCACTAGCTAACTTTTTTTTTTTCCCCTTGAGAAAACTTATCCCCCATGTGTTAGACACAAAACTTTGGTTTTCACTACTTGTCTGTTCCTGACTTTTCTCTCGTTGCTCTTTGCAGCACACATGTTAAAGTTTTCCCTTTATTATTGCTAGAGGACAGCCTTGAAAGAAACATTCTTTGAGTTTTACTTGCTGGAGCCAGAGCGTATTATTATTACCACCACATGGAGAAAAGAAAATTACTCTATTGGGAGAACTAGAAATACAGGTGCATAATTACGATAGATCCCTGCTCACTCATCCACCTTTGTACCCACCCATGGAGCTGGGGGTACAGTTTGCATTCTTTTCTGCTATTTTCTTTTAAAAAGTGATTACCGTTTGAAGATGGCTGGGATCACTTCCTGCAGTCAGGTAAATGAATTCAATGCTGTTTGAAAGGCTTCTCTCTTCTGAATTTATGGGTATGATAGACCTATGAAAGTTCCTGCCAGCCATATCATGGGAAAACAGATTGAGCTGTGGGACCCCTACAGCATATTCTGAGAACACAGAACTGCATATAAATAATTGCTTTTAGCAATAACCTTCTCATATTTTGCAACGAAATGAATTACGTTACCATCTTTTTAATAATCAATTATATTTTACTTCATCCTCTCCATGTCTGGTTTGTTATTGAGTTGATGTTCAAGGATGAATTATTGCCATTTTTCCTTTTTTTTTTGCTGAGAAAAAAGGAAAAATGAAGCAATGAAGCACTTGTTTTTCTTATATCCCAAAATCAAAAGTTTTTTTTTCTTTTAGTAATTGTTATATATTCATGTGCCATCTGTTTTCTGTTTATTTCGTTACTTTCTTTGATTTCAGATCACTGTAATGTATGCATTTGAGAAGTTTAATATAGAAATAAATGTTTACATATCCAAATAAAGGTTACCGGTCACATCTCTACATGCCATTTAAAAGCAATGAGTTAAATCTGCTAATCTTAAAAATAATGATGGTTTTCTCTGTTCATCCATCTGCATTTCCTTTAACTTCTTAAATTGGGAATTACCTTCCACTGTGATGGTCCAGAATACATACTGGGGAAAGGTTTCACAGCTTTCTTTTCTTCTTTCCCTCAGTATCAGGTAGCCCTCATAGCCAGAAAAAAGGAATTGAATGTGATGGACCTTTGCTCTAACCCACTGTGTCCATTCTTATTTTATAGGTTTGGTGGTTGTTTTGTTTTTAATCCTCTGTGGCCACATTTATTGAATATGCTGCTTACATCTGCCTTGTTGAGATGTTTGGTTCCAGCTCCATTGCTGCTCCTCTTTGGTATTTCTGAGCCTCAAATAATTTTCTTCTAACCAAAACCCCATGTATGTTCCAGTCTTACCTCTTTTGCAGATCTTTTGTTATTCAGCATTTTTAAGTACTACTTGAAAACTAGTATTTTATTTCTGCCTTATCATTAGTAAGCCCTTTAATAGCTCTCAACAAATTGTCTCAGGTTTAAAGATGAACTCTTTAGAGCTATGCAGGTCAGCTGGTTCTAAAACATTCTTTTTAACACAGACACATATGTTAAGACAAGATTAAATTTTCACTGATTTTAATTGTTACTTGGTTTGGCTTTCTTATGAATTTAAATTTACAGGTATTTATCATATAATTTTACCTAAATATTTTAATCTTTATTCTTCATCAAAAAACAGCTTTATGTTATTAAGTCCTGTACTTTGTGGATATCATGTGAATATATTTGTAACAGAACTGTGTTAGCTGTGGAGCAGAGAGCTAGCCATCGAGCCTAAGACATTTCACAGATGGTGTGGAGCGTTTGTTTTGCTAGAGATGAGTAAAAGGGAATAGTCCTTGTGATTAGCTGAATTATTACTGAGTCAGAAATCTCTATTGTTTACTTCCACACTGGTCAGCAGCTTTGATCTGTGATACCTTTGTCACAGAATAAAAATTTTAAAATGTCAGCTACAGTTTTATACAGTCTTGGGATTTTGAGTCCCAAATGTGTAAGTATCAAATGCATCACACTTTGTACTCTATTCTTCATTAACTGCTTTAGGATTTAATGAAATCACATGCAGTATCTGATATAACAGCACAGCTTGTTCTTATGGATTTATGTGCTACAGGGAAGCAAACAGAATTATACTATCAGTGAATTATCTACCATTAGTTTGTCTAGAAGGCTCTTCACAAGCTGTTCTTTTCACTCTTGCTTGTTGCAATAATATTTTTTTAATGTCTGACATTGCTTTCTTTTTATGTGGTTCATGAAGAAAAAAACTCCGAACAAATCTTGCAAGGTTATCAGTTCTTTCTTTGCTTAGCCTGTAGTTCAGTTTTATCTTTTCCCAGAAAGATCAAGCTTGTTGAGACTAGTTTGTTAATTCCCAGATGCAGCACAGCCTAATCCCTGAGGTTTGTGCAGGAATGTGCTAGTTCTCCATTCCCTTAATTCTTCTAATGAAAAATAAATGTATCCAATGTCATCTAAGTGAAAACCAATGGTTGTTCTTCTCAGTCTGCTATAAATGTTGAAAAAGAAACAACCCTATGCAAGAAGAGTTCTTTGGAATGCTTACCTTTTTTTTTTCTTTCCATTTTTTTTTTCCTTACTGTAGTATGGCCCTAGGCACAACCACAATGTCAATAGAGTTCATGTGTTGTTTTTCTTATTTACTGTGTGCGTGCAATTACAGAGCCCTGCAGGTTAGGAACCAAAATATATTGCATGTCAGCAATTTGAATTTGGTCCTAAACATTTTGAAGAACAGCTGCTTCTCTGCTCAGAGAATACTGAAGAGCCCTTCAGGAGAAGGAAAACTCCTAAATGGTTGCAGCAAATGATTTAGCATGTCAGGCTATTTTTAATGCAACACTGGGAACTGCTTTCTTCCTAATGTAAAATGGATATCAGACTCCTGATCTAAGTAAGAAGGGCCCAGCAAATGTTTAATTAAATGCTGACAGCATACTTAAGGGTTTTGATGGTAGAAAAAGTGCATCTAAATATAAATTCATTGCTAATTTTCTTAAAGAAAGCTGCAAGATGTATAAAAATATTACAAAATAATAGATACTATCATTTTGCTTCCTTTGAGCTATTGTCCATTAGTTGAGGTTGAAACATTTTTGAAGGAAATATTAATAATGGAAATTCTTGTATGTCCAAAATCAGTAGACAGCAATGGCTTTTACAAGATTCAGAGAATATCAAGCTTATACAACTGTATCTGAAGTCTTAGAGCAGGACATCTGAGATCTTGCTCATTAATATAGACTGGTTAATAATAGAGATAGTCTCAGGAATTTGCCTTTTCTGTTGTAAGTAAAGGAAAGCTACTATTTCTTCTTACATAGAGGTTGCTGGAAATTCACAGTATATTTTAATTTAAATTCCAACTTTGTCTATTTTATCTGTTGCTGGAAACTATGAAATTTCCCATATTTAGTCTAAAATGAAAGATGTTACTTTTGGGAGAGGAGAGAATAGCTTCAAGCCAATTCATTTCAATCAGTTTTTAATTACTCTAGCATAAGTATTTCTTCATGTATGTATATAAAAGTTTTATAATTTGAAACAACTGGAATTAGCTTGGCTTATGGCCTGATCTTGCAATTGTATATATACCAAAACTGTCTCTCACTACTTCTTTGGGACTCATCATGTGTTAGAATTAACAAGATCAAGTTCTTTTTCTGTCATTCTCAAAGAAATCTTAGAAATCAAAGATACAGCCAAGTTTGTAGCCAACTGGCTTACTGTATATAAATACTTAACATTAAAAGTATTTTAAATTGTCGTATGTAATTTTAGATAAGTTAGCCTTAAGCCTGGTAGTTTGCTTATTATGATGATTTCTGTTCCTGGCAACGTTTGCAAAGCTGCCTTGTGCTAGGTGCTTCGTGGATACTAAAGCAAAAGATGGACTTCTCACTGAAGAGTTCACATTTTTTGTCATCTCATCAGTTTCCATTTGTTGAGTAGGAACAAGCCTCTGGAGATCTCAGTCCTGGTGAAGAAGTGCTAGCTTTGGTCAGATCACTCAGGGTTTCTCCTTTCAAGTTTTGAATCTCCGAGGATGGGGCGCCCGTGCCCTGTTTTGGGTACCTGCTCAAGCGCTGCATCACTCTGGTAGTGAAAAAGTTTTTCCTAATGCTGGAATTTTCCATGTTCCAGCTTGTGCCAGTTGAGTCTAGCCCTATTCTTGTGCAGCTCCAAGAAGAGTGGTTCTCTCTTCTCTATTATACACACATTAAATCGTTGTAGCAGCAATTAGATCTCTCCCTAGCCTTACGTTTTTGAGGCTGAACAGAGCTGCTTTTCCCAGCCACTGCTTGTATGTCCTATGCTCTGGTCCCTACCTGTTTTGCTGGCTTCCCACTGGGCTTGTGTAGTATGTCAGTGTCTTACTTCTGCCAGGGATCTCAAGACTAGATTGTCCTGAAGATTTGGTCTCACAAATGCCAGGCAAGAGGATCCAGCACTTTTCCCTGAAAGAGGCTGTGTAGGCCATGGAGTGCCCTGCACGCACCACTGCTAGAAACACTTGGCAAAGATCTACATCATGGTTTCTTTATCACTTTTAGCCAGTGCAAACTAGTACTGATGTTGAAAGGAGTCAATTGTTTCACTTTATCTTATTTTAGTTTGGGCTTAATTTTAGCACAGATCTGCTTTTCAATCCAGCTTATTTCCTGGCCACACAAATAGCTGTGCTTGCACAAGAGAATGGGCCATGTGGACAGGAGTGAAAAGCAAAGCAGGACCATTTTTTTTCTGTATCAGTGCTGATTTGTGTCAGCGTACTGCAATTAGACTCCACAGTCTAAAGAGACAAGAATAATTAACAGAGAATAATGAGGAGTATTGCCAAGAACCTTTGTATCAGTTAAAAGCTTCAGATAAATTTTTCTTCTACTTTTGTAAACAAAATATAGAAAACTCTCTGTAGTTTAATTATATGTCTTTTTTTTTTTTTTTTTTTTTTTTTTTCCTGACAGCAGGTTTGTGGAATGTCCTCTAGCTTTAGTTAGGCCATCTAAGTGAGGAGCTTCATGAGACCAGCACAGGAAAATAAATTTATTTATTTGCTTCTCTTCTGTATAGTACTATGGCAAATGTCCACACTGAACTTTTAGTATTGTTATTTAATTTTTTCCTTTACCTAAATATTAGTTATTTCTTTCAGTTGCACTGTAGTTTGTTTTGTTTTTTCTTTTTTTCTTTTTTTTTAAATAAGATTCTACTGAAGGGAGGAACTTAAAATCTAACCACAGTATTTAACATCAGTTGACATTTACAGCAATCTCTAATTATTGGCACAAAATCTGTCTGGCTTCTGCTGCTTTTATGGTTCTTCCAGCTTGTTCCAGAGTGTTTTAGTTTTACAATCCTGCTATAGATGAGTTAGATGATAATGGTTGCAAGCAACTGAAGATCTACTTTTATACAGACTTTGGTTCAAAATAAATGTGTTTATTGGTGTAAGCAGTATGAAGGCAAGAAGAAAGGTTTCTGCAGAATCTGTCACATTATCAGTCCCCAAAAAACTTTTCACAACCCAGACAAAAAATCCTGTTGGCTTGGGGCACAGCTATCACAAAAAGGGGTACATTACACAATATATGTCTCACTAGGAAGAATATTATATTTAAATATTTATCTTTCTCATAAGCTTAAAGAAGTGTAAACTCCAGGTAAATAAGCCAAAGTTGGACTGTTTCTTTTCCATAACCACATCCATTTTCTTCCTTGAGACTTTACAACATGTTGAACGTTTGGAATTACTGCACATCATGAAGTACATTATAAATTCCTTTAGTCAGTTTCATTCAAGGAGTAGTGTGTGCATTTTGGTAATCCATTTTTGTTCTTGTGCTAAGTATTATGAATATGGGAACACGCAGTTCCTGCTCCTGAGATCTCCAAGTTCAGTAAGAGACACAGACAATTCAGTCTCTTGGTTATCAGAATAGACTATATGTATTTTAATACTATTTATTATATGTCCCTAGTCACTCCAAAGCCATTATTGGTGTACTGATTCCTTGCAAACCTTGCATGACAATGTATTCAAAATACTTGGTTGGGTATTTTTGAAACAAATTCTCGTATTTGAAAATACTTTTATACCCTTTAAAAAACTTAAATACATCTAATTTGTCTAAATAGTTTCTGCTGCAGGAAAATTTTCATCAGTGTGGTGACTTGCCAAAGAAAAACTGAGTAGAATTATTTGCTACCTTATAATCTAAACCTTACTTTATTTTTGTCTGGGATCAGTGTGGCTTAAAAAAAAAAAAGTTTTAAATTGTGTGTACATGTTATACCCACCGAGTCTTGCCACACTGACTCCTGCCTTGTAGTTACCAAATTAACAGCTCCTGAAAACATCTGTGCGTTTGTCTCAGTAGGGACTGCAGGACTAGATCCTGTCAGTTCCAAAATTAAAACCAGTAGGTACTCTGTTCATGATAATACAAACCCTAAGGCAGTGCGTTGGCATATGCTGGCCCTTCGGAGCCTAAGGGTGACTTCTCTGTTCTGGGTCAGGCTGAAACACAGGAAATGACAGTGGCAAGCTGTGAGGCCTCTGAGTCACAACTGGGGGCGGCTTGCTTGGGGATGGCTGTAGTAGTTCCTGTCCCCAGCTGTCTGCCCTGCCTCCCTCTGCAGGACAAGCATGCCTGTACTTCTGGAGCAGTTGTTCAACCACTGTGTTGTATATTCTGTTTCGGCAAGAAACATGCGTGCTGATTTCAAGTTTCTGTAATGCAGAGAAAGGTAGTTTGAAATATTTCAGCAGCTGTTTCCCAGGAAGCTGAGTTGTCCATGTGGTAGAAGTTAGGACGCATAGCTGGTGAAAAGGTTCCAAAGTAAGTTTTCTACTGAAAACAAGCCCCAAGACCATGAAAGTTATGTCCAGTTAATAGATGGTTATTTGAAACTGCTTCAGACTGCGTTATTCAGGAAGCAGCAGTCTTGTAGTTCAAGATAAAGTACGACTTCCCTCTTCTCAGACAAGCAAGACAATATATAGTAAAGACAACAGTATACAGTGTGCCAGTTTACCTACAAATAAGTCATACTCTAGTAGGCAGGAGGAATACTGCTTGCTAGACTGTTTCAGTTAAAACATACTGTATTTTCCTTTTCTTCCTGTCCGACTCTTGTCACGGATCATTTGCCAAAAAAAGTACATGGCAAATGAGATGCCATCAGGAAAATGTATGAAGTGAAGAAAAGGATGTTTAGTTCTGAAGTCTTCACTGCAGATTTTTGGGGAATTTTGCTTTTAGGTGCATGGAACTAGAAGAGATTAATTTTAAGAGCCAACTGGGAGAAGTTGACTTAGGGTCACCATCTGTTAGAAGAGAAGTTTATCTCTGTTTGTATAGAGCCAACACAAAAGAGTCTCAGCCCTGGCAGAGGACTATGGACATGTCCATAACTCAAATATATAATCATCTTGTGATGGGCCTTTCCCCTAAGAGAGCTTCAGGTATTCTTATCTAAAAATATACATTAAAGTAAACGCAGTGGTCAAGTTTCCCAGTTGAGCACTTTTGTGTTTTTGTTTTTTTTTTTCCTTGAAGAAATTTCTCACTAGCTGAACCCTGAGAACTGTAAAAGGTTTCTTGTATAGTGATAAAAATCCCCCAAGAGTAGTGACTGAGCTGCCGTGCAGCATTTTCACATTAGACAGCAAAATGCTTTTACCAAGACTGTGTCATTGTGTCCGTTTCAGAATGAAGAAACCAGGGCATGCAAGAGAAATGTGATTTTGGTAAAGGTTGCATGGGAGGCAAATTGTAGAAGCTGGAACAGAACCCATGCTTCCTGTGTCTCTGCCTAGGCTGCTCTCTACTAATCTTCTGTGCCTGAAGTACATGCTGATTTCAAACAAGGAGCATGACACAGCTGAATATCAGCGTAGGAAGTGGTTTCATGATCATCTCATAAGACACATTTCTAAAATGATATTAAGTACTGTTTTCAAAAGCAACTGCTGTCCAACATTGAATGCTATCAGATTATGATTTTCATTTGCGTGGGTTATTTTCCAGGCGGAAATTTTAACGGGCATCCCAGTTGGCAACCTTGAAGATGCTGAAAAGGTGGGATGCATGCTGTTAGAAAGAGGGTGTAAACTCGTAATTGTTACTCTTGGAGCAGAAGGCTGCATGATGATATCAGTAGAAGAACCCATTCCAAAGCACGTTCCTGCTGAGAAGGTCAGGGCTGTGGACACTACGGTACGTTTTTGTGGTTTAACTGTCTTGCTTTGGAAAAGACTGCTTAAGCACTAAGGGATGGCAATGAGTAATCAGCCAAATCTTTGGGCACGAGTACAAAGGTTAATTTATGATGTGAAATTGATAGCTTGCTTCCAGCCTCTCGTATATTAAATGTCAATTCACTTCAGTTTTATAGTCTGTATTGTAGATATGCTAGAATTATTATGCATGAGAGTATCTCCATGTTTTCCTGTACTGAAGTCAGTACCTGCCTCTGACTATAATGTGCCATGCCAGTGGCTTGAGCTGCAGTTCACACTTCCCCACGTGTGTTATCCATAACGTCCAGAACTCCAGTGCTGCGGGAAAAAGGAGGTATTACTGCCCTAACAACCTGAAACTGAATGTTTGGCTCTTTTGACACAAGCATGAGTTGCTGTCCAAATGTAGCATAAGGTGTATCAAAGACATAATCTTTACAGAATATAGTTAATAAGAGGGAAAAGTTCTTGCTGCTTCACAATTAACTGTTTTATGATGCTAGCGAATGAATAATAGCTTATTCTTTGCCATTAGGCAAAAACTAAAAACAGGAAAGGCAATAGTTAAGATTGCATTGCTATGAAAACCTTACCACATTGCACATATGGGGCTATTTTGTGTTCCTAGTATTATCTGACATAAATCCAAAATAATTCCAGTGGAGTTACAGAGAGCAGAGCAGGTCACGTTGTATGTACTAACTATACATTTAAATGCCTCTTACAATAACGTCATATTACATATGTTCTGTTACAATAGTTCATTAAAATCCTGGAGATTTTACCATCTGGTGCATTCCATATCTGAATTGCATTAATAATAACTAGTTCTCTTAGCATGTTTTTTATCCGTGGACCTCATACTGCTTCACAAAGAAGAAAAGCAACTGTTTAAAAGATGAGAAAACAGAGGCACAGGGGCTGAAATTACCTAGCTCAGTAGCACACAGTGGCAGAGCTTGCAGTACAGTCACATATGAAACTGAACATCGCTGATAGATCTGGAGTGTTATATGTTAATACTGCGGAAGGTTTTGTTTCAATTTAAATTTAATTCTTTTCGATACATGAATACTGTGTCGCCTTTTGCCCCTTTTGTCATTTAGAAGTTTGAACTTGAGTTAGTGTTCATTTTGGAATGCCCTACAGTTCTAAATAGAGGAAATGTTCCTGTACTGTACTGTGTGTAAGGTACCTGATAAGGTACACAGACGCCTACCTGCCTACTTTTAGTCCAGAATTAGAAGTGCTGGAATGAAAGATAGAGCTCCCAGGCCTGCCTCAATGCTTGCTAAGAAGCAGGATTTATTAGCTTTGGAACAAAATGTTGAGAACTTGACTGTATGGCTTCTTGCTCTCTTTTGGTAAATCCACCCTTGCTATCAAAGCTCAGCATGTGAGCCTTCTTTTCTAGTGCACATCACACAGAAGTGATGAAGAAAAAACATGTGTGATGTGCTCCTTCAAAAGAAGCAGAAAATTGCTGCCACATAAGCTATTGTTTAATATCTTAAGATATTTGCTGCTGTTGGTCTAAAACAGCAATCCTGAAACCACACACTGACTGGAAAGTGCTTTTTATCTTCCCTAGCAGTTCAGAGTTTCATGACTGAACTAATTTAACACTCATTTTTTTTCTTTTTTCTTTCTTTTACATAAAAGCAATTACTTGAGTTTACTGAATCCTTGCCCTGCCTCCTTGTGGCCAACAGGTTATTGGCTTTCCTATAGCAGAGGATTTTCACAGTTAATTTTGTTAATCTGCTTGAATACCAGTGGGTTGTTTTCAGTAAAACAGCTGTGCTCAGTTTATTCTTGCAGATTGAATGAAAAAAAGATGTGTTGGCCTTCCACTATAAAAGTCTTATACTGCTTAGACTGATTATCACTTTGCCTGAAAGCAAGTGGTTTTAAAGCAACCCTTCTAAACCTCAAACAAAATAATATCATCCTCAACTAACCTGCCTACCTTTGCAACTAAAAGAAATACTGAAAGTTCTAATAAGACATGTTACTCTTCTCATATGCATAGCTACAGTGGCTCCTTTCCCAAGAGAATAAACTCAAGTTGTGGTGGTTTAGCAAGAAATGCCCATCCACAGTGTAGTCAGAGCTGTTCATGCACATGCTCTAAGCCTACAATTTAGCAGTAAGCAAAGTTTTGAGGGACTGGGCTGTAATTTTTTTAAGCTGCTGTAATCCAATCACATTTGATAACATGTCTGTGTATTGGCATTGCTTGGATCTGCAGAAGGTAAAGTTACCATCAGACAAAGATTTCAGTGATACATAAAACCCTTCATTGGATTTTTAAATGTTACAGAGCCCTTATGGAAACAGTATGTATTAGAATGGAGTTTGCAGTTTAGAGGATATACATAAGTTACAAAATGAGGCACAAAACCCTCCTCTGCTGTAAAAAGTTTCCCCATAGATCTCTGCCCGAGTCACCTCTGCAACAGTGCAGCTTCAGTACTGCCTCCTGATCATTTTCATTGTCAACAATATTGAAAATTGCTGCTGAGAAAATGTTTGGGTAGGTACAGCCACAGAGATACAAGATCAGAGTTCCTTGTCCCAGGCAGTGTGTCCCCTATTCTCTAGGTGTGTTAGAGAGACTAAGGGTCAAAGACGGTAAAGCCTGAATCTCCTGCCTAGCTCGTGAGATGGTTAATCAGAGAGTTTATTGGCAGAACACTGAGAAAAGCTGGCTCCATCTCCTGCTCTGTGGTGGAACATGAATCTTCAAGACTGAAAATCTGGCATTTCTCACCCACACTAAATCAATACTATAAAGAAAAAGAAAAAAAAAAAAAAGCTTGTTGATTCTTTTTAGCACTAATTATCTTAATGTGGGTTTTACTAATGTATGCGATGCTTCCCATAACTGTTAGCAGAGCTCTCCATGCACAGTCCAAAACATGTAGAGCACGAATAGTCATTTAGAAGGAAGTTTTGCAAGACATGGTATTGTAAAGCTGTAACATCTGTTTCTCCTATTATAGCTAAATAATGCAATAAGGTTTTGTTAAAAAAATAAACTTTCCCTTCACTTTGCTGGCTTCTGCTAGCTATTTTGACATTTGATACACAATACGTAATAATATATAGATAACAGAAGAAAACTAAAGTACACGTTGTAATCTCTTTTCATTACTCTATATAGCTGCTGTTATAGCTACTTAGCTACATGTAGTTAAAAATATGCCTTTATTTTTGGTAGAAGCTATTTCTACTTTACCTGAAATTAGGTGCATTGAAATATTTTTGAGAGTTAATTATGTAATTCCATTCATATGACAGTTCCTCAGTGGCAGAAGGTTGCACAAGCCACTGACACATTTGATAATCATTTCATAGCAATCAATACTTTGATGTACATGTGTTCTGCAGTTGCGTGTGTGTGTCTTTGGAAGCCATTCGCCTGCTGCTGGAGCAGAAGCGCAGCTGAGGTGGAGCACAGCAGCTGCTTGTGAGCACAGCTGTGCGACATGACCGAACACTGTCAGGTCAAAACGGTACTTGAGGTAAAGCCGGTGATCTGTATGATGAGCCACACAGTGAACCCGGGTTGTGACATCTGCTGCTGCCACGCACGCACTGTCGTGGCAGAGGCATGCCCAGCCTGCTGACAGGGATGGCCGCCACATCGTGCATGCTGGGGAACGGTGCTCTGCTCTTTCTGCACCTTCACCCCTGCTATCCCCCTCAGCTTCTGACAATCACACAAAGCGTAATTTACAGCACTGTTTACATCTATTTACATTTACTAATTATATTCTGTTGAAACTGCCAAGAAAAATTTGTCAGAAGAATGTAATTACCCAAAGCTGGAATTTGGCCAGCAGTCAGATTAGTTCCATTTTCAAAAAGCATTATGGGATCTCACCGAGCCGACAGCATCAAGCAGCAGCCGGGGACAGAGCCGAGCCTCAGTGGTTGCTGCCACCACTCACTGGAGGAGCAGAGGCCTGGCATCTGCAAGTGGGCATGGTGGAGGCCATCAGGACTCCTAGGAACCCCAGGCTCTGGAGTCTGAGCTTGAGAGGGTCATTTGGGTTACGTTGGAGCCCTGGGCTCTGGTGCCTTGGGAGGGTTGGCCATGCCAGGTCTCCTCCACAGGCAAGGCAGCCCAGAGGCCTAGGGCAATTCTCCGGGCAGGCTGAATCTCTCCTGTGTGAGGCTTTAGTGGAAAATGGAGCACTCTCTGTGCAAGTAAGAGCTGCCCTACCACAAGTCCCGATTTCCAGGCTGCAGCCCTGAGGTCACTCTGGGGAGGGAAGCACTCCAGGGCTACTTTTTGTAACCTGTGGTTTGCTCCAGACCCCAGTTTGAATCAAGATGCTGAATAACATCCATACACGCTTGTATCAGTTTGGGTAACATAATTTCCATCCCATCCAGTATTTTAAAAACACAGTGTAGCTGATGTGCATAAGATGTTCAGCTTCTGCTTGACCTTTAGGTTTCCACGGGCAGGTGTGTGCACAAAGGTCCTGCATCTGCAAGCTTAGAATCAGAAGATAATGATCTGCATGTCTGGCTTGGGGATGGATGTGTTCTCTGCAAGGGCAGATGGAGACACTTGAGCACACAATATTTAGACGAAAATTTGGAATCTCTGTGGTGCCCCAGTAATCACAAGTCCCTGCTACCTCTTTTAAATCTCATTAAGAACTTGAGTGGTTTAATTTCAAGGTTTTTCTAGGCACAATCATTAGATTTCTTGTACTACTAGCATCTACCCTGTCTAGCTGTGCCTTCCAGGTAAAGAGAGTGCACAACCTACTGCAGAAAGCTGAGGAAATGTAAGTCACTGTACAATAAGTATGCCTTTCTTGTGTGTCACCATACGATAAGTGTGTCACCACCGGTTGTGATGACATGCTTATAAAGAAGCAGCACAGTTCTGAGACACGCTAAAATTCAAATTTAATCGACTCAGTTGTGCCTGAAATTTGACAGTGTATAATTCAT